TATGGAGAAAGATACCAAGGTGCATTATTAAAATCAAATTTCTGTTCTTATTTTAGAATTTCATATTCAAAATAGATACACCCAATACTGACTAGATATTTAAATCATCTGTCAAATGTTATGCTTAAAGCATAGGTTCAATTATGATCAAGGGCATGGGTGCCAGAACACTGCTTTATTCTTTGAGAGAGATGATTTGATCTTTCTGGGAAGAAACATATTCAGGTTTGGTGTCCTGAATAATATTCTTATGTAGAGATCTCCTGATATTTAACTATTACTGTGATGCCTGTTCTCTGTTTAGATGGTTCTTTCATCCAGACACTATTAAAAGAGTCAGAAACAGAGATCAAGAGGTAAAAATAAGTCACCAATGGGAAAGGCATCACCTCTTTGGACTCATGTTGGCTTCTTATTTTGGCTTCTTATGTTACCACACTAGGGTACCAGCTTAACAAAAATTTGCTGAGGATCTATTTGCATTCTAGGCAACTACAGAAACAACACAGAATGGAGCACCGGAACGCCACCCTGGGAAGTGGCTTCACATTGATGGGGATTCTGAATGACAGTGGGTATCCTGAGCTGCTCTGTGCCATGATCTCAGTCCTGTATGTGTTGGCCGTGACCGGCAATGGCCTGCTGCTCCTGGTCATCACAGTGGATGCCCGGCTCCATGTGCCCATGTACCTCTTGCTGGGGCAGCTCTCCCTCATGGATCTCCTCTTCACATCTGTTGTCACTCCCAAGGCCGTTGTGGACTTTCTGCTCAGTGACACCACCATCTCCTTTGGGGGATGTGCCCTTCAGATGTTCCTGGCACTGACACTGGGTGGCGCAGAGGACCTCCTACTGGCCTTCATGGCCTATGACAGGTATGTGGCCATTTGTCATCCTCTGAACTACATGGTCCTCATGAGGCCGAGGGTCTGCTGGCTCATGATAGCCACACCCTGGGTCCTGGCATCCCTGAATGCTGTAGGACATACCTTGTATACCATGCACTTCCCTTTCTGCATGTCCCGGAAAATCAAGCACTTGCTCTGTGAGATACCACTTCTGCTGAAGCTGGCCTGTGCAGATGCCTCCAGTTATGAGCTCATGGTGTATGTGACAGGTGTGACTTTCCTCTTGCCCCCTCTTGCTGCTATCCTTGCCTCCTACACACTAATCTTATACACTGTGCTCCACATGCCTTCAAATGAAGGGAGGCAGAAAGCCCTGGTCACCTGCTCTTCCCACCTGACTGTGGTCGGGATGTTCTATGGAGCTGCCATGTTCATGTACATCCTGCCTAGTTCCCTCCACAGCCCCAAGCAGGACAACATCATCTCTGTCTTCTACACGATTGTCACGCCAGCCCTGAACCCCCTCATCTATAGCCTGAGGAATAAGGAGGTCATGGGGGCCTTGAGGAGGGTCCTGGGAAAATATATGTTACGAACACACGTCACCATCTAGGAAGAGGTTATGGCTTTCTGTCAAAATTCATTCCCCCTCAAAATCTGAAGATTCCTCCTGAAAGTGAAATACTTATGTCCCATAGTTCAGAGTATATATCTTAATAGAAAATGAAGGAGTGTAGCTTTACTCGTCATATGCTCTTTTAAACCATCTTACCACGTAGTAACTAATGACATTGTATTAAATTATGGATATTGACATGCAAGATGGCCTTGAAAGCTCTGGATGGCAGAGCTTCTGTCAGCTTGGGTCCACAGACCTGCCCCTCTATCCCTCAGCTAAAATTTGTGTAAGTGAGAAATAACCATCTACCTGTTATATGTAACCTTCTAAGCCACTGAGATTTGGGGTTTATCTGTTAGAGCAGGGGTCAGCACACACCCCTGGGGCCCTGTTTACTTACAAAAAAGTTTTAGGGGAACACATTGATTTTTATGTTATCCATGACTGTTTTCCCACTACAATGGTAGAGTTGAGTAGCTGTGATGGGACAGTATGGCCTGCAAAGCCTAAATATATTTAGTTTCTGGCCCTTTACATAAAAAGTTTGCTGATCCCTATGTTAAAGCAACTAGTATTATTTTACATAAAGGAAAACTATAAGCATATAAGGTAGGGGGTCCACGAGAAAGAAAAACAGGCATGGCTTTCTTGACATAAGAGAAGCCACATTTGCCTTGAGCGGTTTTGTGGTCTAAGCCTGATTACAGTGCTTGCTCTTGAACAGGTCTCAGTAATTAATGATCTTAAGGGAACAAAAGAATGCAGAAACAAACAACCTTTATCAGGCGAGAGAAGTAACAATAGCAAAGATAATATGTCATTTGTAAAGACTGCCAGTTCTCTTTCAATGGTAAAGGTTAACCTGAAGCGCTCAACCACCAGATCAAATGGAACCTGCGGGAAGGTGATGTTGACCTTTTCTGACCATGTGATTTCAATCAACTAAAGCTTGGACTCTCAACCTTTGCCCCAATTCTATGATGAATTCTCCTCAGCTCAAGCCGTTTCATGAATATGCATGTACCCTTAGCTTAAAACTTCCCCAACGTTCCCATTCTCTAAAAAGCAGTGTACAATTTTTAGTATGCTTTAGAAGCACTTGGGGTTAGTTACAAATGAAGATTCCTGAGATCAACTTCCCTACCCCATCCTGTACTGAGAAATATTTTCAAAAAACAACCCAGGAATCACTTCAAGTCATGATATTCAAAATTATGATCTGCATTATAAATCCCTTACCAAGGCATAAAACAGTGCCCCAGCCCCCCACCTTCTTAACTTTATCTTCATTTTTCATACTGTCCCGTAAATTCTTCAGTCTTCAGCGTTTTCAGAATTACATGCTGGGCAAATTCTTTAGTACCGAAAAAAAGCATTTCTCATCTAGATTCTTTGTCTTACTTTCAGCTTTATATCTCACTATTTTCTTAATGTTACACATACTCCTAGAAAAATTCTACCATGTTTTTCCTTAAATATGCTCTCTTTTAAGTTTTAGATACTGTTAAATCTAGAATTCAAGACCATGTTAGAAATACAACACATGAAGACTTTACTTTTTATATCTATATCCTCAGCTTCCAGAAGTGTGCCTGGAATATATAATGCGTTCAAAATATATGTGATGAATGAATGCAAGTATGAAGAAAATGATTTCATTTGCCAGAAGTGCATTCTTGCATTTGTGATAGCTTTGTTTATTTGATTCTTTGTTTTTTAATGTATAGCTATTATGTCCACTTGCTTTAATTTCCTTATTAGCTTTTATGGGCTTGGAGAGTACTGAGTGTTTACTCACCAACTTTTCATTTCCTTTCTATCTTCTTTCCTTTTTTTCTTCCTTACTTTTCCTTCCTTTCTTCCCTCTTTCCCTTCCTTCCTTTATTTTTCCTGTTTTCCTTTCCTTTCTACATTACTTTCCTGTGTCTACCAAGGCACCTTACTTTGAACAGGCAATTTGCTGAACTTATCTGAGAAAATAGGTAGGCAAATAGGAGAAGAACAAAGGTGGAGGAATGGGATGAAAATGGGAAATTTTTGTATTAAAATTACTTCTCTCTATATCCTTAAAATCGTGATCATAATTAGAGATTTCCACTTTCAAAAA